ATCTTGCCTCTTCATAATAAGATTAGTGTAGAAAAGTAACAAAATTAGTAGTAGCCCTTCAACGGTTCCAAAAATTTGGCAAATATGTTGACTTTTCAATTAAGTTCTTTAACATGTCATTAGCCATTTATGTCAAAAATAAACCACACGTGTCACCGCACTTTTAGCCGCACATCTGTCAGTGGACGGTGAGCGGAAACTGGTATAAATAGCACAAAACTTTTGTTTCTTTCCTCTCGCAGAAATAAAAAGTGTTTTGGATGTGACTTTTCTTGAAATATTTTCATAAATAATACATACACATAAAGTAATGTGATGTGCTCTATTTTAGGTGATAAAAAGATGCTTTTTATGATAAAAAAAGAGGCAGGGATTTTTCGTTTGCCTGAATTTGGGTCTGATAGCCATGATATGTTATGTTACTAGGATAATAATGTCTTCCAATGGCCATGCAATTTTTAAAATCGACCGGCGGTATGATTTGTACACTCTGGTAGATACCATAAGTCTAAAACTTCATAAACCTCACTATCAAATAATCATTCAATTTCCAAAAAAAGCAACACACTACAATCTAACATCTAATTCCCTCATCAACATACCCACCGGTCCTATGTTAATAACGTGTAAACTTCTCTAAATATGTGTTTGTACACTCAGCTTAATATGTGTACAAGCGGCTTAATGTACACCATACTTTTTTGTTGAAAATTGGACTCTATTACGACTGAATAAGGTCTCAGTGTGTGGATGTGCCTTAACAGGAACGTTGACGGGCAAAAGCGTGCTATTTCGGGCTCTTCCTCTAGAATTGGTCCCGAAATAGAGCACACTTGGGCATGCGCACTTAATGTCACGATTTGTCTCAGTTTTGTTGGGAATTTTGCTTGATAAGTAAACAAATTGTTGGGCATGAAGGGCTGAAGCTGTAGTGAATAAGTAAGATGTAATATAAGTGGACTGAGCAGTGACATTTACATGGCAAACTTTTTCAGACTTGAGACTACGCTTGAGTTCTCAGCGTTGTTTCATAAGCAATTAGTAAGTTTACCTACTAAAAAGAATGATTAACTAACCATTAGAAAACCTAGTTAGTGACACCTAGAGCCAAAAACCTTCTTCTTTCAAATCTTTAAAAATCATCGTCTACGAGTGGAGACCCTGTTTAGTTTGGGAGTTTTTTGATGACGATATTGTGCATTGTTAACGTAAATACAAAATTTTTGGCAGCCATTGGAAACCAAACTACTTAACCAAAAAGACTCCTTCGAAGTCCAACTCCAACAGTTTTTCTGTTTTTAATTACTTAGTTAATACTTATTTTTAAAACACACTAAATCTTCTTATCTCGCTTCGCTTATCAGCTCTTAACTAGGCCTATAAGTTGGGAATTACTTTGTTTGCGGTCCGCCGGGACCGAATGAACTGCGCAAGATACGGCCAAGACTAATTTTCAATTAAAACTTCATCAAACTTAAGCAACGAACGAACTCTTGGCGTTTGGTCCAAGTTCAAGCTACTCGAACCTAAGGTAAACGTATAAGAGCTTTATTTAAAAGAGACCCGTTGACCCCTCGTACTAAGCTAAATTATGCTTGTGTCACTAATGGGCTCACCACAATAGTTGAGCGTCAGTGAGGTTCGAACCCACGTTGCTCGGGTGACGAATCGGCCAGTCCGACTCCTTCACCGTTCGGCCACAATATGGAATTTTATTTTGTAGTTCGGCTATCGTGGCTTCTTAAATTTTAATTGACAGAAGAGTATAATGTAGCTCAAGACAACTTATTAAGTTACTCAAAACAAACTTCGTAACGGTAGCGTGTGATTTGAACAAATCTTTTTTCGGCGTATAGGTAATACCTCAAGGGTTCCTCCCATTTAAATTTAATAATAGAAAAAACAACCCCCAAGGGTGGAAAATTGGGGATGAACTATTTTATACGCAATATCTCCGCCGATTATAAATCAATTTGAACGATTATTTTTTTGTTGAATAGGTATTATCAAAAGGGTGGTTTCATGCGAATTTGAAGAAAATATTTCACCCCCAAGGGTGGAAAATTGGGGATGAACTTTTTTATACGCAATATTTTTAATTTTTAGTTTTTTTTGTGTTCACGCATTTGAAGTCGGTTTTATTTTTTTAAAAAGTTAATTATTTCAAAAATTAATGACGTTTCTTTCAAATCACAACAAAAATACCAACTTAGTTTGAACTGGGAACGCTAGAAAAAAAAATCTAGGGTGTAAGTAGCCAGTGTCGCGCTCTAAAAAGTTTAATAACATTCGAATGCAATTCCTTTTTCATACGATTTTGAACTTCGAATGCTAGCTAGAGCTTATCCAGCAACATGTGCGGGTGACAGATCAGATAGGTTATGTCGACGCATGTGACGTCACGAGTGGACGGAGCGGACGAAATTGGATTTTTATCCGATTGTATGATAAAGCACGTCACTACCCCAACCCATGGGTTAGGATTTCACGATAGCTTTGTAGTATATTGGCTCTTTCTTTAATAAAAATTGATGTACAATTTTCAATAAGTAAATAATATTATATGTAGAATACTTTGGCTATTTCAATCAATTATTGTTTTATATTTCAAATTAGTATCATTTAAAAAAAAAACTTCGCTTTATGAGAATGTTTCATATCTTTTGAAGTCATACTTTAGGGATGTGCAACTGGCCGAAAGTTAATTAAGCAACTTAAAAAAAGTTAAAAATAAGTTCTGCATCAGAGAAAGATTTGATTTAGATATCAAGGAACTGCGATCGTTCGATACTTAAACTTTCAAACCGTATTGTTGGTTCGGTTTTGTTCGAGACGCTTCAAGATAAATGGACATTATTTAACTTGGTAGTTGGGCGTTTGCCCTTTTTAAAGTTTCGATACAAGATGGATGGATGGACAGTCTAGTTTAGCGTGCATGAAGTGTAGTTTAATGAAAGTACCTAGCTAAGTTTTCAGTAGGCAATAGTCTTGTCATTCATTCTATGAAACAAAATTTTAGGGTCTATATTACTCAGCGACGTCCAAGAAGCTCGATCAAAGCTCAATAGATTTCGGCAGAATTTGAATGGTATTGAGAACTCTCACACAGACTTTAAAAGATTTGAAGTTGACTTTCCCCCATAGAAGTCCTGTTTTATTTAGTAGTTGTACCTACCTATTTTAGTTCCCCTGCTTTTTATTGACATGTTTGCAATAGTTCCATTTTCGTCCACAGCACCAGGGTTTTGCTCAAGTGACTTCTCCCCGCCAAGAAGTGCTGTATTTAATCATGTTCTTTTGCCCTGTAGTATTAGTTCTTCTCTCGCCCACAGCGCGAGGGAGCGGCGCGCAGCAATGCTGCTCGACCTGACGCGAACTTGAAAGTCCCGTTTTTCCCTCCTGTATTTCTACTGCATGTTGTATTATAGAAATTATAGTAATCCTTCCTCTCTCCTCCACAGCGCGAGGGTGCGGCGCGCAGCGATGCGGAGCGCGAGCGGCGCGCGCGCGGCGACTGGGAGGCGCGGGCGCGCGCCGCGGAGGCCGACGCCGCCCGCCTCGCCGGCAAGCTGCACGCGGCGCAGCGAGAGATCACCAGGTCAGTACCAGCACAGAATAATAATAAGTACTACGTACAGTTTTACTTCGCGAAGGTATTTAAAAAAATGTATGCTCAATGTCATTAACAATATGGTGTAATTTAGCCTGTCTCAAGAGTCAAGCACCATTTTGTTGACAAACGTCAGTGATCGGCACTGCGCCGAAGCTATAGGGCTGACTTCGGTAAAATGATGTGATGTGACGTGAGGTGCCAAACTGCGAAAAATGGCGGAGGAAATACATGATTTAGCATGAATTATCATGAATAATATTAATTACTTATTTACCTCTCAGTGTCTTGAGGCAACGTAATAAAGTACATTCTGTGTTTTTATTATTATTTAGGCAGTTAAATATTGCACAGTATTTAGTACACCATTTTCTTTATTTTCTTCCATCATACACAAGAATACGCGTGCGTGAGTCAATGTTCGCTCGTATGTGAGGCCTTGTCGAATAGTATCCTGTAGGTGGGCCATCGTGTGTGTTTTGTTTTCGATGTAAACTCGCGGAGATGAACAGGCCTGGTACCAATACTCAATACCAGCTGTAGGGATGCGCGAGGGAGCGGCCCCAGCGATGCGGAGCGCGAGTGGCGCGCGCGCTGTGACTGGGAAGCCGACGCCGCCCGCCTCGCCGGCAAGCTGCACGCGGCGCAGCGCGAGATCACCAGGTCAGTACCAGCTGTAGGGACGCGCGAGGGAGCGGCCGCAGCGATGCGAAGCCGAGCGGCGCCCGCCTCGCCGGCAAGCTGCACGCGGCACAGCGCGAGATCACCAGGTCAGTACCAGCTGTAGGGATGCGCGAGAGAGCGGCCGCAGTGATGTGAATCCGAGCGGCGCCCGCCTCGCTGGCAAGCTGCACGCGGCGCAGCGCGAGATCACCAGGGCAGTACCAGCACAGAATAATAATAAGTACTACGTACAGAAGTTTTACTTCGCGAAGGTATTTAAAAAAATGTATGCTCAATGTCATTAACAATATGGTGTAATTTAGCCTGTCTCAAGAGTCAAGCACCATTTTGTTGACAAACGTCAGTGATCGGCACTGCGCCGAAGCTATAGGGCTGACTTCGGTTAAATGATGTGACGTGAGGTGCCAAACTGCGAAAAATGGCGGAGGAAATACATGATTTAGCATGAATTATCATGAATAATATTAATTAGTTATTTACCTCTCAGTGTCTTGAGGCAACGTAATAAAGTACATTCTGTGTTTTATTATTATTGAGGCAGTTAAATACTGCACAGTATTTAGTACACCATTTTCTTTATTTTCTTCCTTCATACACAAGAATACGCGTGCGTGAGTCAATGTTCGCTCGTATGTGAGGCCTTGTCGAATAGTATCCTGTAGGTGGGCCATCGTGTGTGTTTTGTTTTCGATGTAAACTCGCGGAGATGAACAGACCTGGTACCAGCTGTAGGGACGCGCGAGGGGGCGGCCGCAGCGATGCGGAGCGCGAGTGGCGCGCGCGCTGTGACTGGGAGGCCGACGCCGCCCGCCTCGCTGGCAAGCTGCACGCGGCGCAGCGCGAGATCACCAGGTCAGTACCAGCTGTAGGTGCTTGTTCACGTAGGTACGCGCGGGCGCGGGGGCGGGTGCGGGCGCGGGAAACGTTGCGAGCTCGTGTTCACATTAACCACCAGGCGTTCGCGCGAGTGTGACGTACTATCGTTTCTAGCGACAAGTTCAAACTGGTTGAACTTACCTGACGTCGCGAGTGAAACGCGCGCGCCGCCGCTAGTTTGACATGAACACACACAAACATCTTCACGCGTTGAAATTACCGCGAGCGCTTCGCGCGCACCAGTCGCTAGCTTGCCCGCTAGTTAGACCGCACCTGCGTTTCGTACGTGAACACTTGGAATCACTACATATGTTTGATATTTCGTCACCGCGCCCGCCACCGCGCCCGCGAGTCAACGTGAACAAGCACTGAGAGGCGCGGGCGTGCGTCGCGGAGGAAGACGCCGCCCGCCTCGCCGGCAAGCTGCACGCGGCGCAGCGCGAGATCACCAGGTCAGTACATAGTACAATACATAAACAAATAATAATTGACGATCGCCAAACAGCTTGAGTACCTTCTGTACTCGTCACTTTGCCCGGTGAAGCTGGAAAAGCTCTTCAAGCTACCAGCGCGCGTCCCCATTTTGAAGCTGGAAAATCTCCACAGACTACCAGCGCGCGTCCCTTAAAAATCATCATTAAGGTCTACTTACTCTATTTACGTGGATGCCCGCTTCGAACTTCGGACATTGCGCTGCTCACACTATTTTTCGATATAGACACACGTGATGGTGCCCGTGCGATTTTTAGCGTAGACCTTTTGTCTCCAACTCCAATGCAGGAGCACAACCCAATCTAATACCTGAGGCAAATGGAGAATTAGTCTTACACTCTCCATACTGACCTGCTAGGTTGGACAGGCCTAACCAACCTGTTTTGTCTCGCCTTTTACGAAATTCACGAGAAGAGAGATAATCCCTCATATTACAAAAAGTTAGACTCTGGTTGAACTCTGGTTTAAATTGACATTTAGTATGGAAATGTAATTTTATTCAGGGTTTGTCTCAGGTTTAACTTTTTTGTAATAAGGGGGAGTGGGTCCTTTTCTGCTCTGCCACACCACAAGCGTGATAAGTTAGTGCTGCAAACTCCTTTTTTTACATTTTCTGATCCAACCGGTTCTAATTATCACGTTCGACAAATAATATTGCTCTGTTAATTTAAACCCTGCATAAATGTGACCATCAGACTGAAGAATGCCTTTAAACAACGGATGCACCAATTAAAATATTGCCTTCTGCAAACAGCCGGGAATACATTAGGTTCGTTAGGCAGCGAGCCTGGTAATCAGAAACTATAGGGATGATCGATTTATCGAATGTTACATCGAGTAAACGGCGATTACCCTGTAACTTCGGTTTGTCATCGTGGCAGAGTTTTGGGCTGACACTGTGTAGGTTTGTTGTCGACATGAAAAGAAGAAGAAGCCTATAACTTTCGATTTTTATTTAATTTTAGTCTAATGCATATCAATCAAATATTAAGGTTTTTTGTATGTTTCACACACCTTAGGCAGAGAAAATTGAATAACTTCATTTGTAAATTCTATAAATGTCTGCTATGGCATATGGTCTATTTGCATCTTAACTTCCATTTGCGATTACCTATAAATGGCTAAGCAGATACATAATTTAAGGTCCCATTATTTGTATTGTATTGCTGTTTGTTTTCCGAATAAAATAAATAAATAAATAAATATTTGCCTGACGAGTTTCTTGAAAATTTTTCCAATATGCAATAGGTTATTTTTAAGACAATCAAATATTTTTTTTTATCAATGGATAACTATTATAATCCATTCGTTCTCTCCGTATCGCACGTAGTCATAGCGAACATCACTACACTCCCATTAATGAAGCTATTTCGATTTCGGCTTTAGTATCGATGCTGAATCAATGTCTGTAATAAATTGACGATAAAAATGAGCCCTTAAAATCTTTAACGACCATCGTGCAATTGTTTATCAATTGATAGAAGAATATTAAAAAAAATATTGTTTTTTGTTCTATTTATATATTTAAGCCTTCTTTGTTAAAAAAAATAAGCTGCCTATGTTACTGGCAGCTACGTATCGAATCGGAGTCTCCGGAAATAGAGTTCCAAATTCAAATTTAATCTAGAGCCGTAGTGATCGCGACGCGATACCGAGTTACTTCGGTAATTAACCAACTTGGTTCGATTTTCGAATTTACTACGCTCAGCGTAATCGGGCCCGTGTCATTGGATGGCGATAACCGGCCGTCCGATTGGCCGATGGGCCGTAATTTCGTTCGAAATACGAACTTCGGGATTTACGTCAGAAGATCGTTATGGATTTGACCCAATTTGGCGGGACTGGGCTGGATTGAAATTGGATTTTTTTCGGCTATTTGCACGAAGGTGTTCCCGTGATTGATATTAGTCCCAGCAACGGTTCATTGTCTTCAATCCGAGTCCTGAGGGACGTCTATTGATTGGGGAATGCAGTTATCGCTGTCTAGATGGAAAATTAACTTTGAGGGAGTTGTTGATCTACTTACTGGCTGCCTGAAGATTGCGTGAAATCAAATTTATTTTACTATTAAATTCTATGAAACTATGAATAGCTAGTTAGCATGAAATCACTAGATTACAGATTTAAGACAATCCTTAACCAGTTTGTCAGAGGTCCAAAACTAAATAAAACTATTTTTTTCCATCGACGTTTAATAATAAAAACAATAGTTGACAAAAGAAAAGCTCCAATAAGTACATGTTTGTACACCAACGTCAAATATTTCACAAAATTCGCTCCCAATACAATCATAACCAAAACGACACATTAAGCCCATACCAAATAAAAATGCTGTCCATTTCTCTAAGAACGTTTTATAGCTGCAGGCTCCAAATGGAATCGAACCCGCGACCCGTGACGATCGCGATCCGGCTCGGTGTCAATCACGAGCCTCCGTGGGAGCGCGCATCTGGTTCTGGGATCTATGGGTTGGGGTTCCGTAGAGAAACTTTGCGGTTCAGTCAATCCTTAAGTATACAAACAAGAGTCTTATTATTGAATGGAACTTGGCGTTTAATATCTTCGTTTTTTATTCTTCCGTGCCATAATAGGTAGCATGGTATCTTGGTGTTTTAATTGTAATTTAGACATTAGGTGTATAGGCCAGTAGAATTAAACACAAAAATTGATTAAATCGGAAATAATTCCTACAAAAGATTTTTTTGCTTTAATGGCTTCATTGGTTGCCCATTAAGACTCTCCTAAGTTTTCGACTTCGACGGAGTTGTGCTTAAGTGGTGGGGGCCCCCGAAAGGGGCGTTTTTTCGGTTTTCCGGTTATACCGCGTAAAGGACTTACCCTATCAAAAAGTGGTCTTCATGACGGTTAAAGGGCACTTAATCCTGCATTGAATAAGACCAAATTCATATGTTTTGGACAAACCGTTCTCGCGCTAAAGTTCGGCAAAGTAGAAAATATACGTATAATTAATGACCCTCTCCACGTCCAATGGCTTGTTACCCACATGCTTCCAAGCCTTGTAAAGGGTCGCCTGAACCAGTGTAACCCTAACAAGGCTCACGAGTTTGATTCGCTTATCCTTGTTCGTCCCAGCCGTTCCTTAACTGCGGCTGCTGCACCTCTTCCTGGCACTCTCCTGAACGACTCTGTGTTACCTAATGTGGCTGCCCCTCTTCCTTGTACCCTCCTGTACGATTTCATTGCTTAGCCATATGCCTGGTCCAAGGTTCGACGCCACAAAATCAACTTCGTACGAGTGAAAATAGTTTAAATACTATTTCCCGTGCTTGCAACATTTTTCTTTACTGCTTCGCCTCTATTAGTCGTAGAGTGATTGTATATATCCTATAGCCTTCCTCAATGTATGAGCTATTCAACACAAAAATAATGATTTCAATCAAACTAGTAATTCTTAAGATTAGCGCGTTCAAACAAACAAACAAAAAACTCTTCAGCGTTTTAATATGAACTTGTTGTTGTTGATTTTTGGCGTCGAACCTTAGACCAGGCATACGGCTAGGCAACGTAGTCATGCAGGAGGATACAAGGAAGAGGGGCAGCAACAGTAGGTAACACAGAGTCGTTCAGGTGAGTGCCAGGAAGAGGTGCAGCAACCGCAGTTAAGGAACGGCTGGGACGAATAAGGATAGGCGCATCAAGCTCGTAAGCCTTGATAGGGTTACACTGGTTGAGGTGGCCCTTTTCAAGACTTGGAAGCCTGTGGGTAACTAACCATTGGACATGGAGAGGGTCATTAATTATACGTATATTTTCTACTTTGCCGAACTTTAGCGCGAGAACGGTTTGTCCAAAACATATAAATTTGGTCTTATTCAATGCAGGATTAAGTGCCCTTCATCCGTCATGAAGACCACTTTTTGATAGGGTAAGTCCTTTACGCGGTATAACCAGAAAACCGAAAAAATGCCCCTTTCGGGGGCCCCCACCACTTAAGCACAACTCCGTCGAAGTCGAAAACTTAGGAGAGTCTAAATGGGCAACCAATGAAGCCATTAAAACAATAAAATCTTTTGTAGGAATTATTTCCGATTTAAAAGCTAATTCTACTGGACTAGTACTTCTCCAAACTTTTATTAAAACACAGCCTTCATTCTGCCATGAGTTGATACCATTTTGTTAGCGTTTAATGATGACAGAAATCGACTTAGGCTGGATTCTGGCACCATCTAACTTTAACTTTAACAAATGTCAAAAGTCTGTCAAACTTCATACGAAAAACATTGTTATAGTTACGGTCAAGGTTAGATGGTGCAACTCAGCCTTATAGTTCACTCAGCCTAAATACAAGCAAAGATACGCCTGTAACCAGTCCAAGTAAAAAATGACTACCGAATCCAATTTAATCATATGGAACCCTCACACTCGCCCTGTTTCGCTCTTGGCCAGTTTGTATGAAGTTTTCAAGGCCCGCACAAAAACAAATTCGATTCGTCAAAATATTTCCTGGGGCGGATAAGCTGATT